AGGGTAAAGGTGATGGATTGGCCAAGCATGTCTCCAGACCTAAACCCTATTGAGCATCTGTGGGGCATCCTCAAATGGAAGGTGGAGGAGCGCAAGGTCTCTAACATCCACCAGCTCCGTGATGTCGTCATGGAGGAGTGGAAGAGGACTCAATCTCTGGTGAACTCCATGCCCAAGAGGGTTAAGGCAGTGCTGGAAAATAATGGTGGCCACACAAAATATTGACACTTTGGGCCCAATTTGGACATTTTCACTTAGGGGTGTACTCAGTTTTGTGGCCAGCGGTTTAGACATGTTATGCAAGCTGTACACTCACTACTTTACATTGTAGCAAATTGTCATTTCTTCAGTGTTGTCACATGAAAAGATTTAATAAAATATTTACAAAAATGTGAGGGGTGTACTCACTTCTGTGAGATACTGTAGTTAACTATGGTCGCAACTAAGGTTTGTTGAACTCTGTTGGTAACAACGGAACTTGTGACCATAGTTGCTTTTGGGAAATGCACCCCAGATTAAGAAAAACTTAGCAACAACCTAGCCCTTTTAACTCTCATGAACACCCTTTGAAGTGTTTAGCAACTTGCTAACAACCCCAGTGTTATTTTAGTATTATTTATAAAACTGTTATTAATATTATAGTTTTTATTATTGTTGTTAATTAGCTTTTAGTTTCAGTTTTCATTTTAATTTGAGCTTAATTTTATGTGCTTTTGGCATTTTTATTTTTTATTTCTATTAGCATTTTTTTCCTTCAGTTATAGTTTTAGTAATTCTAGTATTTCAACTTAAACTTATCAATTTAGTTGCCAAGTCAACATTTCTATTTTTTTAAGTTACATTTTTCATTAATATTTTTTTATTATTAATGGATGAAATTTATTTTTAAGTTTAAAATAACAACACTGAATTACTCAGATTCAAGAAATGTTAGAAACCACCTAGTTACTGTCCAGAACACCCTAGCTATTACTTAGCATTGTGCTAAAATTCACTCACAATGCCTAGCTTCACCCTAGCATCATGGTAGAGTTTTTTTTCTATGAGGCAATTGCCATTCACATTTTCTTTGGAAACTAAAAAGTTTTTCTAGGTTGTTAGCAAAGATGGAGGTGTTGAAGAATGTCCCATTCGTGCAGACTTAGGCCTTTGTCAACCTTTGCCCTTCCCTGTT